CACGAACAAATAGGTAAAATAATAGAAGCATATATTTTGGTTTTTTGATTATTTCGCGTAAAAATGAATTTTTTTTCACAAAAATGAAACTGATAACACCTTAGTATTGACTTAAACCATAAATCTGATAATGTATTCAGATTGAGCATGGAAAACTACAATAGAATGTACGAAATATATGAACTCTGAAGTACCTATCAAATATTGTTTTGATCCTATGTGATATGTATGTAATGGAGAGTGAATGGAAAAGACTATAGAATTAATTCAAAAAAAGGGAATAATCTAAAATAAAGTCTTGATCGATTCATTAGAGTGGAGTTAGCTCTAGAACATTTATTAATTAGCTTTCTCCGCAATGCAAGTTCTAGAGAGAACATTTGACGAAATTTTCATATTTAAGTGTTTATAATCTAGAAATCGATGTGTGTTTAACTTATTTCATTGAAGTATTTGCCAAAAATTAGTATCTCTTGTAATGGTAGCAGTTTGAAGCGAGAAATATTTTGATTGGGTTAGAGATGAATCGATAATATATATATATGTATTAATACAGAAGGAGGCGCTTCGATATTAGTAAAAATCAGGGATTCGTAAAGAAAACGTATGATTCATCGTCGGTGATTTTAATATACACTTACTATATTACTTACTTAACTATTTTTCGTCACTTCTCAATCTCATTTTAATTATGCCTCATAAATCGCACATTTGGTGTTCTCATCCTTGTCATGATGAAGTTTCATCTGATGGAAAAAAGCGGTGTTCAAAAATTGGTCAAAAACCATCACATCCAAAAGGAAAAAGATCAATCAACAAACAACTCGCTTTATATATCAATAGTCATAATGAAAGTATTTTAGATGGAACTTCTACAAAGCTTTCAGAAGATGATTATCTTTGTATTGTAGTTTTCCACGCTCAATCTGAATACATTATCAGACTTATGGTTTAAGTCAATACTAAGGTGTTATCAGTTTCATTTTTGTGAAAAAAAATTCATTTTTACGCGAAATAATCAAAAAACCAAAATATATGCTTCTATTATTTTACCTATATGTTCGTGAGAATAGAGTTGAATATGCAATATTTTAATACCAAAATACTCAGCGTAAAAAGCTCTACAAGTCCTGAAACACTTTAAGGAATTCGGATACATTTATTTAGGCCAAAAAGTAAGATTTGAATAAAAATTTATCGTTGAAAATCGTGTTGATGCTCGTTCCTTGCAAAATCAGAGTCGCGAAGAAAACTGACTCGTACATGTTGTAGAGCACGTTTTGCTCTATCGAACTGCTAGTGCCAATATTTCTGTGAAATCTGACTTTCACAGCAAATTTTTCAAACACTGTGCCTCACTAGTGCATCGCAAAACAACCTAGTAGTCCGTGAAAGTTCTTCAAAATTATTTCAATTCTTATGGATTCTGATGCAGTGTTTTACAAGGATTCTGAATATGTGGTTGGCTTTAAAATTCGAGTGAAAAAAGTGAGATTTTCATCATTTTTTCGAAAAAAATGCTTTTTTTATTTACTTTAAAAAAGAAAAGTGTACTTTTTGTATTTGACCTCTATCTTCGCAAAAATACAATTTATTCTAGAAAAATTTATTACCAAAATGATCAACGCAAAATTCTCTACAAACCCTGTAACTTTGAATGAATTTGAGCGTGGTCGCCGGAATGACCCGGTGATTTCCGGTGGAATGACCTATCACTCAAATGCTCGGCTCTCTTATCACCAATTTGATTACCGAACAAATTCAGTTCTGTGACTACTTGGTGTGAAAAAGAGAAACAATTGTGAGTATCACAGTGGCGGCTGAGTTACAATTAGTCTCAATCGATGCTCATTAATAACAGTTTTTTTTTATTTCGGTAACGAAAAACCGAACATCAGACTTTAACATAACATTTGAGTCGCTAAGATCCTCAGCTAATTCGAAGTTTAGAATTAATTAGAAGCATATTTAATCATCGAACATTACTTCACAAACATCGATTATGGTATAAAAACGCAACTGTTAGTATCTATTTCATTGAGCATTTCAATTAGATCGACTCATTCTTTTTATAACAGTTCTCTACAAGTGAATGTGATTTTTGTAACTACAAGCTGATAAAATTCTACAAGAAAATCGACGAGTCAGATTCAGCACGATTGTCTTTTCATGACTAATTCTTCTGTATTGCTTTTGTTAATATTAACTAGGACATGTTCTCGCATGACGAGCGACATACTTCATTTGATGAAATGAAAACAAATAGATTTGAAATTGATATAGAATTCTACACAAAAAAAAACAAATATGCTGCTTTCCTTCTTCTTCACAAAAATGTTCTCATCCTTGAAAAACTTCATTTTGACAAAACTGTGTTTTCATTGAATGCACACTACCAGTACAGTTTTTTGCTTCGCAAACTTCTTCATATTGATTTGTTTTTTGTACAAGGAGAACATAAGATTCTAAAAAGATAACTCTCTGAACCTGAAATAGTTTTCTGGTTGACATTAAGAAAACATTTCGGATAACAACATTTTCCTGTAGAATAACATTTTTTTGTTATATTCTTGTATAAACATTCGTATAGAAAAGAAAATTATCATAATTTGATTTTAATATGCATAAAGAATTATTTCTGCCAACATATCAAAAAATTGGTGATTAATGAGGTCACAATCACACTCTCAGTATATCGTGATTTATTGATAACTTTTCATCAGTTTCTATGAGCTGGGTTTCATGCGTCGACCATTTGTTTTTGTTCTCATGATTGATAATAATGATTTGACTGTAAAGAATCTATCTCTCTTGACTAAATGTTATTAATGTGCCTTTATTCCGTATTACTGTTGAATCTGATAATACGTCCTCAATAAAATATTCGTTTTCGTTAAATGGATTGGCGAAAATCTTTTTTTTCTATTATAATTATCTTTCTGCTTTTATTATATTTTGCTCATGTCATCTGTTCATATCCAAATGAAAGGGTATTTAATCTGGCAGAATTTTTACGATTACGTTGTTCACTAAATCCAAATGAACAAGTTATAACAACATGGGAAGGTAGTGCATATTTACATTTATATCAAATGCCAGTGAATCATGTATTTGATATTATTGGAATGAACATTGCACGATGTTTAAATGATTCAAAAAATCAGGAAATCATTTTAACAACACGAGAAACTCAATTATATGTTGATGTTAATACAGGTAAAAAGTTAATTACATGGACAAATCCGTATACAGGTAATAATTAATGTATCTGTTATGCATGTGGCTAATGATCCTGTTCAAAGTACACTATCGACTAGTGAATTTTCAATAAATGGGTACTTATCAAGTGAAAATCAAATCATATTACCAACGGATATTAATCTATTCTATCCAAATCCATTATTTCAGAATGAAACATTAAGATATTATTCAAAAGAAAAATTTTATCAAGCAGGAGAATATTTTAAATTTTTTACGACATTAAATCAAATAACTGATGAGAATCTAACACAAGTTAATCAAATGGATTTATCATGGACAAGAGTTTCTCCTATTTTGCCATGGATGAATATGTCAACACAATACAATGGAACATTGGTGTTTTCAGCTCAAGGAACAAAAGTTTCTTCCTTAACTCAAATCGATCAAATTTTACTTGACGAAATCATTAATCGAATTCCAATTTATCAAAATGCACCAACTTGCCAATTAAATGCATCGAGTGAAACTTCTTGGACTTATTTTAAAAAATATTTTTCTCAATACTTATCGAACACACAAGAATTTCCGATACCGAAATCAAAAGAAGATATTCCATGTGTTCATGATTAATCTCTATTTGCATCGCACATGTCCAGTTTCATTTTAAAATTTTATTTAATTCAAATGATTCGGACATCATGATGGTCTCTGCTTTTAAACGGGGCCCATCTACATGTTCTCTCGAAAGCAAACATTCATTTTACTAGAAAAGCATTTTCCCACTCTAATAAAAAAGGATCGATTCTTCAAGTAAAGTGTTCAAATGAAGAACTGAAGTTCTCTTAATTACACATACAGTATAAACCCTTATGAAAAGTTTGCTAACAATTTCCACAAATCATTTATTCACACCCTCAATTTTTGTTCTATATTTAATTGCTTTGGTTATCATGATTACTTTTCTTCGATAACGCTGAACACAACTAGTAGGATTAAAGCAAGGGGGAAAAACTGATTTCTGATACTAGAAATCACTGGAAATCACTAGAAATCACTAGAAATCACTGGAAATTACTAGAAATCAAGAATAACAAACTAAAGTTCGCGCAAGACGAACTTCAAGTGAAATTATGAATTTACGTCTTTCACACATCATCTGCTACAGAATTTTATGGCGATCACGAATATATGTTTTTTAAGTTATTTCAAAGCTTCCTTCAGTTC